CTAGTCATTTCATCTTCGGTTTTATCATAATATAATTTCTGTATGTAGTATACCAACGGTTCCCAACCTTTTTAGTAGTGTGGTCCGCCAAATTAGTAGAACATTTTTAAGGTCCACCAATAGTTATGTATGTATTATGTGCACATACGTCAGTTATTCCAATTTATTTATTAAAAAACAGTTGTTTATCAAAAAAAAAAAAAAAAAAACCGCGTTGGACCATATTATTCAAGAGTTAAATAATTTAATGTGATTTTTGATTGTCTATTATACATTTATGAATATATATTTTTTTATAATTACCTGCCATGTTTTTTTAATGATAACCAGTAGGATATGTGTAAAATACATTCTAAAAATCTTATCCATGCGTGAAGAGTGAACAATCCAAACTTAAAATTATCTGGCTTTGTCGGTATCTTTATCACTCTATCGATGTCATTAAAGTTTTTAGGTTTACATCCACATATGTAACACGATTGGCTAGATGTACTCGTCATTGAATTACATACCTAAAAAAAAATTTTAAAACTTTAAAAATCTAAATTAATTTTGTATCTATGTAAAATTGTTACCTTTCCATCAACCATCGAAAATATCAAAGTATGTTTTATTTTGAGTAAATTATTGTCTTCTAATAAAATATCTGTTGGAAATATATTTTTCAACTCTGATTCGATGGCATTTACTTCTCTCTTCGTACTTTCTATTGTTTCCTTTTCATACAAAAATTTTATTGGACGAAAAAAATGTGACGAAGGTCGTACATTTTTCCACAAAACCACATTTTCGTCACTAATTGAACAGCGAAGTAGAAGTGGTACTAGTGAAAATATAAACACAGTGCTATCATTATCTGTTGTCAAATCATTGAATTTCATTCTATACATCAACTGACCACTACTGCCGTCACATCCCCACTTATACAGCATTTCCAAATTTGTCATTTCATTTTCTAACTTTACTTGAGGAAGTGAACAAATACGTTTTGTGGTGTGGTTTAAAAGGTCTTGCATTGGAATTTTGCAGCTAGTTTCTGTAACATGCAAGTTATCCGGGTAACAGCGTTTCTTAGCTTCAATAACATTTTCATAACTTGGATAAATTTTACAATTTTTTTGTATAGCATCAAGTCAAACTATTTTCAATAAGAAAAACTAAAGCTTCGTCTGGAGTATATGCAACGGGTAATCATTCACAATTTTTTTCTTTTAATACATTCTTTATTTTTCTACCTCTTGTTGGGATTGTAGTTAGTTGATTTAAAACAGAAGCAGCACATCTTTTCCCTGAGTTTTGATATTTTGTTGAAAGGGCATATCTTAATTCAGGTGAGGTATGTGATTTTGTTAGAGATAAAACTTTAAACTTTTTACTTCTTTCCGTACATTCGGAAAAAATTTTCAAAGGTCGTCCACCTTTAAAAGTTTTTGTTGCAGGCATCTCAAATTCAGTTTTTAGATTCAAATTTTTTATAATTTCTATAGCATGCGTTCCATTTTTTTGATACCGCTACAC